AAATAAATAAATAAATAGAAAGCAGTGCTAGAAAGAGCTCTGATTTTATGGTATAATATATATTTCTCTTTTTCTGTTAAGAATATTATTTTGTTTATGCCACCAAGAAATTTAAAGCTATATGTGAAACCCTTCTAAAGCAGTTATGTAAGGTCTTACAAGGGTACATGTGTTTCCTTTCTGGCTTTGGTTTTCTACTTTAAAAAATATTTGTCATGGTCCTCATAGTTTATTTGTATTGATTATACTTGCTCCTGAGCCAAGCCGTCTCAAGTACTCTGGAGACAAATTAAATAAATAAAAGGATATATATATATATATATATATATTAGGATATGCATAAATATTGCTAACTCATAAGACTTCAACTATCTTAATATAGAACATTTAAGCCAAAAGAGAATGCTTGAGTAAAATTATCCGAATATATGGCCAAACCTCAACATCTGCCATACACAGCTCTTTTCTAGAGTTCTTACCACATCAATCACCAGGTAATGACACCAAGTTGGTATCTGACTGAGTCTACTTGGAAACCTGACCCAAAGGTTGCCAATCTATAGGATGCTCACTAGGCTGTATGTTCTGGTCCCAAAGCTCTTCATTTCAGTGTTTGAGAGGGCTTGTATTTCTTCCTGTTTTATTTCCCACAGGTACCAGTAAATCCAAAAAGAGCTAAATTTATATAATTTCTTACTTTTTCATGTGTTTATATATATATACTTTTAAATCATGCTGCTAAGCTTGAGAATTGTATATACATCTGCCTGGATATCCATAGGTACCAAAACTGAACTAATTTTCATTATTTTCTTTCAATTAACCCTGTTCTTCCTATTTTCTTTATCTTAGTGAGTGTTCTGACCATCTACTTGGCAGAAAGTAAAAAATTGGGGCACTATTCTTGCCTCCTTCCCAATACCCTCATTAGTGATCACATCAAATTAATAAGCAAATACACTGTCAATTCCAACTCATAAAAATCTCTTGATAGAGTCCATTTTCTCTCTAGCCCATCACTATGATGGAGTTTAGGCCATCATTTCCCCCCAGTAAAGATTACTGTAACAACTTTCTATTTGCTGCTCTTGCCTTCAGCATGCCTGCATGCATGAATAAATAAATATTTTTTTATTTGATACACTGGGAGAGAACATAAGCAGGGGGAGCGGCAGGCAGAGGGAGAGGGAGAAGCAGGCTTCCTATAGAGCAGGGAGCCCAACATGCGGCTTGATTCCAGGACCCTAAGATCATGACCTGAGCTTAACCTAACTTGATGCTTAACTGACTGAGCTACCCAGATGCTCTGCAAAAAAAATGTTTTTGTTAAATAAACAAGTATGGACTCAAATACCTGCTTCTTCAATACCATTTTATCAGAGGTAACCACTAGCAACCTAACGGCTATGAAGAAATCTCTAAAGTGGGGTATTCTTAACAGAAGACTACAAATCACCCACTTAAGAAGTCACCTATTATTAGTCTACCCTTCATGCTGTCTTTGGGACTGACTGCATCTAAGGAAGAGATGCCAGCATCAAAGAAAATTCCCAGGGGTGCCTGAGTGGCTCAGTCAGTTAAGCGGCTGCCTTAGACTCAGGATGTGGTCTCGGGGTCCTGGGATCGAGGTTGGCTTCTCCCTCACCCTCTGCTGTTCCCCCCCACTTGTGCTCCCTGCCTCGCTCTGTCAAATAATTAAAATGAAAAATTTTTAAAGTCTAAAAAATAAAAGAAAAAAAGAAAATATCCACAAAACCTTTGCTAAAATGAGTCACCAAAAGTGGGATATGGCTGAAGAATCAGTAAACATAAACAGCATAAAATAAAGCAATACACTGTGTTTGTCATATAAGCTGATTTTTTTAAAGCTTTTATTTATTTATTCATGAGAGACACAGAGAGAAAGAGACAGAGACATAGGCAGAGGGAGAAGCAAGCTCCATGCAGGAAGCCCGATGTGGGACTCGATCCTGGAACTTCGGGATCACATCCTGAGCCAAAGATAGACGACGCTCAACCGCTGAGCCACCCAGGTGTCCCAAGCTGATTTTTTTTTAAAATTTATTTTATGATAGTCACACACACAGAGAGAGAGAGAGAGAGAGAGAGAAAGAGGCAGAGACATAGGCAGAGGGAGAAGCAGGCTCCATGCACCGGGAGCCCGACGTGGGATTCGATCCGGGGTCTCCAGAATCACGCCCTGGGCCAAAGACAGGCGCCAAACTGCTGCGCCACCCAGGGATCCACAAGCTGATTTTTTAAAAAGATTTTATTTATTTATTTATTTGGGAGGGTAGCACAAGTGGGAGGAGGGGCAGAGGGACAAGCAGACTCCCCGCTGAGCACAGAACTCAATGTGGGGCTCTATCCCAGGACCCTGGAACATGACCTGAACCAAAGTCAGATGCGTAACCAACTGAGCAACCCAGGCGCCCCTGAATTTTTATTTTAAATTATATAATAGGGCAGCCCAGGTGGCTCAGCGGTTTAGCGCCGCCTTCATTCCGGGGCGTGATCCCAGAGACCTGGGATTGAGTCCCATGTCGGGCTCCCTGTATTGGGCCTGCTTCTCCCTCTGTCTGTCTGTCTGTCTGTCTGTCTCTCTCTCTCTCTCTGTGTCTCTATGAATAAATAAATAAAATCTTAAAAAAATAAATTATATAATAAATACTTATTATATAATTGCATATTTTATTACAACTGTATTATTGAGGGGCGCCTGGGTGGCTCAGCGGTTGAGTATCTGCCTTCAGCTCAGGATGTGATCTTGGAGTTCCGGGATGAAGTCCCGCATCAGGCTCCCTCCATGGGGCCTGCTTCTTCCTCTGCATTGTCTCTGCCTCTCTCTTTCTGTGTCTCTCATGAATAAATAAATGAAATCTTTAAAAAAAAAAAAGCAACTGTATTATTGAAATTTTTATTATAAATTGTATTATAAAATTGAAAATATAAAAATTACATACATATTACAGAGAATCCATATTCCATAAAATTTACCTCCCCCGCCTTTAAAATTTTTTTTAAATTTATTTTTATTTATTCTCTAGAGACAGAGAGAGAGGCAGAGATAGGCAGTGGGAGAAGCAGGTTCCCTACAGGGAGCCCAATGTGGGACTCAATCCTAGGACCCTGGGCTCATACCCTAAGTTGAAGGCAGATGCTCAATCACTGAGCCACCCAGGCATTCCAAAATTTACTGTTTTAAAGTACACAATTCAGTGGTTTTTAGTATCCACAATCACTAATTTCAGATCATTTCATCACTCCCAAAAGAAACCCTATTAGCAGTCACCCATTAGCAGTCACTCCCTATCATCTCTCACCACAGCCCCTGGCAACCCCTATTTCCATGGATCTGTCTATCCTGGATATGTCATATAAGTGGAATTATACAGTATGTGGCCTTTATGTCTGTCTTCCGTGAAGAAAAACTCTAATAAAACATAAAAATGTATACCATAACAGGGGGCAGCCAATTACCAAAGAATCAAATAATTTCCCTGAATCTTAGTGAGTCTTTAGGTAAACTACTATAGTACGAATTAACTGTCATTATTTAAAAAAAAAAATTGAAGTATGTCTTAGTGTACTCAGTTTATAGTAACAGTAAAGAACATAACCCATTTAAAAATATTTATCTTTTCAATGGCTAAAATTTTGCTGAAATTTGAGGGATATTCAAGATACCCAGGATACATTCTCCATAGCCCTGTAGCTTAGGGTGTATTGCTATGATTTCAATTATAGTCAACCAGCATGTACAAAAGCATTACTTCCATGAAAAAAATTCATCCCAAGTTCAATGTCGTTATTTTTTTTCTTAGTATCTCCAATGTATAAGGTATTATATAAAGATTTATAAGAAAACAGTCTCTGCAAAAAAAAAAAAAAAAAGAAAGAAAGAAAGAAAGAAAGAAAGAAAGAAAGAAAGAAAGAAAACAGTCCCTGCTTACAAGGTACTTGCAATATAGTGAAGGACTCAGACATGCAAATCCTTAGAAATGCCAGAAATACTCTTCTTCACCAGCACTAGCATGAAATTATTATCCACCTTGAGTAGGAATTGGGCTGGTTATGGCTGGGCTGCAGTAGCAGCTAAGAATAAGAGTTAGATGCCCCCAAGTACAACTTGTTTAAATTTTAACATTTGCAAATGACAATATACCTTTCTAAGTTATGATTTTCTACATAAGTGAACAAAGAATAGCACGATTAAGTGCCCAAATAATGGGCGCTGAAAATAACCCCCTTAGTTTTTCCCTAGGTAATTTCTAGGTCAGATGTATATAAATTGGAGGCTGTGTGTTTTATGTTGTGGGTGATCCCAAATGTAATTTCTACTTGTTAAAAATAAGGAGGATAAAATTACAACCGTAATACAAGAAAGAGTTTCAAATAACTTTTACCTTTTTATTTTTTTCAAGATTTTATTTTCAAGTAATCTCTACACCCAATTTACAATCCTGACATCAAGAGTCTCATGTTCCACCAACTGAGCCAGTCAGGCACTCCTACCTTTTTACCTTTAAAATAAAGGGCTGTAACTCTTCTATATAGGGCCTCAGTATACGTAATATTTTGTCTCAAACACAAGTCATTTTATGGACATATTTGATATTGGGAATGGGAAGTGGGGGGGTGAGTTAGAATCACTTAAAAATCAGCATTATAATAAAATAAAATATATCTTTCATATTATATACAAGAATAGAGCAAGGGAAAACTAGTAAACAAAATCATATAGGTACAAATCAGGTAGGAGAAAACTGTTTTGAAATGAAACATTTGAAATTTTGATCCATATCTAAAAAATACAGTCAAGACTATTTAACAAAAGAATTAATAAATTTACAAATTCAGATAATCCAGTTCCTGTAAATACACAAAAATTAGCAGTAAGTCTAAAAATTTTTAAATAGCCAAATAGGATACACACACACACACACACACACACACACACACACACACACACACAAACTAAAATTAGCATTCAGACTTACCGTAATAGGAGTTCTTTGGGAAGTTTTTTATTGATTACAGCTTCATCACTATTTGAGAACATCTGCAAAAACAAAATAATTTAGTATTACTCAACATTTTATTCTGTTCAACTCAAAGCTTAGAGGCAATCATCTAAAGAGAGACATAAATAAATACAGTGATTATTATAAACCAAAGTCATATTTTTAGGGACTCTTTAGGCTAAAAAACATCTTTTTCAAAATATTTATTTGACACAGAAAGAGAATGAGAGAGCATAAGTGAGATGGGGGAGCAAAGGGAGAGGGAGAAGCAGGCTCCCCTCTGAACTGGAAGCTCGATGCGAGGCTCGATCCCAGGACCCTGAGATCATGACCTGAGCCGAAGGCAGAAAGCTTAACTGACTGAAGCACCCACATACCCCTAAAAAACATCTTTGAGACATTTAATTTGTTTTGTAGCTTTAGAAACAATCAATTACAATCAGAAGGATGACATTATGTGGCAGGTATTATGTTAAGTGCTTTTCATGTACTAATGTACTGAATCTTCATATTATCGTTAATCTTCATTTTCTATGTAAGGAAACTGAATTGGAAAAGATTTATTTGCTTAAAAATCGTATCACTGCACAGTGACCATTTAAAAATGCCATTAAGGGATCCCTGGGTGGCGCAGTGGTTTGGTACCTGCCTTTGGCCCAGGGTGCGATCCTGGAGACCCGGGATCGAATCCCACGTCAGGCTCCCGGTGCATGGAGCCTGCTTCTCCCTCTGCCTGTGTCTCTGCCTCTCTCTCTCTCTCTCTCTCTGGCTATCATAAATAAAAAAAATTTAAAAAAAATAAAAAAATAAAAATGCCATTAAGTTAAGGTGATTCTCCAAATCTAAGTCACATTTACTTGTTCAAGGAGGTGCTCAGAAACCTAGGATAGGGAACATTCTGAGTTTTATATAATATGGAGAAAATTGGTAATGCTTCATAACCATTACCATATGCAATCTTGATGTACACAAGTGATCATTTAACAAAAAATTTTTAAAAGATTTTATTTATTTATTCATGACAGACACAGAGAGAGAGGGAGGCAGAGACACAGGCAGAGGGAGAAGCAGGCTCCATGCAGGGAGCCTGACATGGGACTCAATCCCAGGTCTCCAGGATCATACCCCAGGCTGAAGGCGGTGCCAAACTGCTGGGCCATCGTGGCTGCCCTCCATCATTTAACAAATTAATCAAATAACCCATAATGGATTTTTTAATTTTTAATTTTTATTTATTTTTTTTTAAATTTCATTTTTTATTTACTCATGAGAGATACAGAGTGAGAGAGAGGCAGAGACACAGGCAGAGGAAGAAGCAGGCTCCATGCAGGGAGCCCCACGTGGGACTCGATCCCTGGTCTCCAGGATCACGCCCCGGGCTGCAGGTGGCGCTAAACCGCTGCACCACCGGGGCTGCCCCATAATGGATATTTTTAAACAGTCATCCTTTGTCCCACAGAGGAGATCACGACTATAAAGCTTGTGTAGTTAAGCTACATAAAAAAACAAATATCTATACTTAATAAAAAGCAGAGTAAAAACAGCAAACATACATGTCATTGAAGCTGAGGAAAATATGCTCGGTCCCTGATATTAAGTATTACAAGAGATACCTCTTGACTTCATGCAATGAAATTTACTGAACACCCTCTCAAATCAGGCACTTTTATAGGCAGTGAGATACAAACAGGAGATGTCTCTTTATATTTCAGGAACTCTTGTTCTACAATGAACACACATAAGTAAATATTAAGTATTAGAAATAAATCACAAGAGGTATACAAGAGCAAGGCAAGAAATAACTAATTCTGCCCACAGGTGACATCTAAACTGGGTCTTAAAGGAAGGCCAGAAACTAATAAACTAGGAAAAATGGGGAAGGTAGTATGTATAAAACCATGGAGTCATATATGAAGGCCTTAGCATTTCACGATTCAAAGTAGAAAAAGTAATGGAAGGGAAGTAGAGATAGGAAAGTAGTGGAGAGAATGTACCTCCCCCCTCAATCTCAGACATTCAAAGAGTAATTACGATAAATATTTTCTGATAACTATAACAACGTACCTTCCAGCTAAATGGAAAGCTCTGTGAAGGCAGGGACTGTGGCTTTCATGTTTGCCATCATATTTCCAGGATTGAGCACAGGGCCACACACATGCTAGGAACTCAACCAATTTAACTGTTAAGTGGATGGGGGGGGGGTTGCTCATGAAGGAAACTTGTATATCAGGCTAGAGATTTGAAATAATCCTGTAGAGAAGAGACACCTTAAGAAATTAAACTCCAGATTGGTGGCAAAGAGATAAACTAAGAATATACTGAAATTATAGTTCAAGTAAAAAATGACGCAGGTCTCTGTGAGATTATAGGGTTGGTGAAAATTAAAAAAAAAAGAAATTGGAGAAAAGGAAGATTTTTGAAGAAGCAAATGGACTTGATGATGGAAAGTGCGACTATCCAGTTTCAGTGCAACAGACAATCTTATAATAATAAAAGTAATGCTGTTGACTGACAATGACATATTTTAGTAAAGTATATGACATCAAAGAATAATCTGCTTTCCTATAATTTCTACTCATTAGTGGAAGCTATTAAAAATCATACCCTTGGGATCCCTGGGTGGCGCAGCGGTTTGGCGCCTGCCTTTGGCCCAGGGCGCGATCCTGGAGACCCGGGATCGAGTCCCACATCGGGCTCCCGGTGCATGGAGCCTGCTTCTCCCTCTGCCTGTGTCTCTGCCTCTCTCTCTCTCTCACTGTGTGCCTATCATGAATAAAAAAAAAAAAAAAAAAAAAAAAAAAAAAAAAAAATCATACCCTTCTTCTATAAGGCAGTCTTTCAAAATGAAGCCATCATATTTCCTCCTAAACAAGCTTAAGTTTTTCTCAAATTATATGGTTTCTAAGATGCTACATTATAATGATCATTACTCTCTGGGTACACTTACAGAAAATAATGCATTGTAACCCATTTAAAAAGCCAAATAATCAAGGGTTGATGACATAAATAACAATGTCTTGTAAAGAAAGATAAAGTATCAAAAATGGAAACCTGGAAGATTTTCAGAGTTAGATAGCACATAACATTTATCTTAAGCTTAAGACCTTTTTTTTTTTAAATTTTTATTTATTTATGATAGTCACACAGAGAGAGAGAGAGGCAGAGACACAGGCAGAGGGAGAAGCAGGCTCCATGCACCGGGAGCCCGATGTGGGATTCGATCCCGGGTCTCCAGGATCGCGCCCTGGGCCAAAGGCAGGCGCCAAACCGCTGCGCCACCCAGGGATCCCTTAAGCTTAAGATCTTTTGGGGGAAAAGTTTTTAAGTACCAAACAGACTCCCCAATCTACTAGACTCTGCCCCACTAAAATTCACAAAAGGACAATCATTTATATACTAAAAATGCTAACCTCCGTATCTCATGTACTCAAACTATTTTTTAAAAAAGATTTTATTTATTTATCCATAAGAGACACAGAGAGAAAGAGGCAGAGACATAGGCAGAGGGGAAGCAGGCTCCATGCAGGAAGCCTGATGTGGAACTCAATCCTGGAACTCCAGGATCATGCCCTGAGCCAAAGGCAGATGAGCCACCCAGGCATCCCTCAAACTATTTTTTTAAGTGCTACACATCTCACCTAGTAAGGCACTTTGCTCACTTGAATATACACAGTAACTAAACTGATTAAAGATATAAACCTGCCATAGGTCATTCATATGTCTTCTAAACTCTATATATAAAAAGGAACAAAAATCACACCCAATAATTAATTTCTTTCCTCACATCAGTCCACATAGATTGAATGGTCTTGTCCCCTGTGGGAGCATGAAGGTAAGTGAAGGGAAAAAGGAACAACGTCCCAGGGGGATTTGGGAAACACCAAGCTAATAGGACATCTGTTCAGATTTACATATTCCTCCTCTTCCTTCTGCACATTTATAGTTTACTCCAAAGTCCCAAGAAAGTATAAGATCAATGGTTCACAACCTGTGGTTATCTGACCAGTAGCATCAGTATCAAGTGTGACTTCATTAGAAATGCAAATTCTTGGGCTGTACCCAGACCTATAGTATCAGAAATGAGGCGGGGAGCAGGTGGAAAGAAAGAATGGCGATCCATATTTTAACAGATCCATATTTTAACAAGTCGTTCAGGGACGCCTGGGTGGCTCAGCGTTAAGTGACTGTCTTCAGCTCGGGGCATGATCCTGGAGTCCCAGGATTGAGTCCCGCATCAGGCTCCCCGCATGGAGCCTGCTTCTCCCTCTGCCTACGTCTCTGCCTCTCTGTGTCTCTCATGAATAAATAAAGTCTTGAAAAAAAATAACAAAAAACACACAAAAAATCTGACTCTTGATTTCAGCTCAGGTGTTGATCTCAGGGTCATGACTAGAGCCCCATTTTGGGTTCCATGTTGGATATATAGCCTACTTAAAAAAAAAAAAAAGAAAAAGAAATGTGTGGGCAGCCAGGGTGACTCAGCGGTTTGGCGCCTACCTTCGGCCCAGGGTGTGATCCTGGAAACCCAGGATCGAGTCCCACATCAGGCTCCTTGCGTGGAGCCTGCTTCTCCCTCTGCCTGTGTCTGTGCCTCTCTCTCTCTCTGTGTCTCTCTCATGAATAAATAAAGAAAATCCTTAAAAAAAATAAAAAAGAAAGGGAAAGAAATTACAGTTCTAAGAAATAACCCGAATATTTCATTATTTGGAGTGATATAACAATGGAGCTTAGAAAATAATCCTAGAGGTAGACACAATAATTTTAAATATTTTCTAGGAAGCCCATATAGCTTCTGCCTCAGTTCATGGCATTGCTGGTAAAATAAATGTTTCACAGAAGCAACAGAATATGTTTTAGGTATTCTACTATTTCAGCTGAATCAAACTTTGGTTTCTCATGCAAAATATAAAGGTTGCCAAAACCGGTTAGGTCCAGGATATGATGAATTACAACAAATTTGTCAAAGATTTTGGATATAATTGTTGTAAGAGGAAGCTGACTATTCAAACATCTGACATTCTTAGGTAATCTGGTTTTA